ATTTTGCTGTCTCTCAGTGTATAAGTGAGTTCTGAGGGAGGAGGGACAAATGAAGAGAGAGAAACACAGATAACGAGATAACAGATAACGAGAAATTGAGAAAAGATCAGCTAAGGGCCGCAAATGTAGATACAAAGTTCAGAGTAAAAATTCTTCCTGAATTCTATTGAAAAGCACCCATATATGTGATTCCATAAATAAAGGACATAAAAGCCTTTATTAACGACAAAATACACGTCTTTTATATTACTTAGACTTTGATTTAAAAAAAAAAAATACATGTAGAATGTTTCAAACTCCATACCAATTCAATGAATGCTGGTCTTTTTCTTGGTTTATTATTGGTCCTGAGAGTTCTATCAGAATATTCTTTATGCCATTTTAATCACTGAAGTAGCCATAGAGTTTTGAAAGCATATGGAGTCATCAGGGTGTATTTGATCCATTTGTTCTTGCCATGGCAGTAGGAACGCAACTACTGGTATTTTGCCCTAAATCATACAGTAAAGTCTATCTTGAATGGGATATGTTTACATAGGTCTAAGTTACTTAATCCTCTTGGCCCACTGAACACTATATTTTTAATTCAATAAAGCTTGGCCAACTTATTCTTTCCATACAATTTACATAGCTTATTTTTATAAGAACCTTTTAAAAAGAATGATCTTATCAAAATTTAGTATAAAGTTTTTATTTGATTAGTGGGATCACAATACTATTTTGAAAGCATATTAACTAAATTTTTATATTTCCAGTTGTCTTTTTGGATGCATACCATTCCACTTTAATTCTCAGTGTAGCAATCAACATTGAGTTTCTGCCATGTGCAAAAATGGCACTAGAATAAATACTGTGCGCTAGAATAAATACTGAGAATTGAGTGGTGTTGGTTATTAATGAAGGTAATGACAAATTTAAAACTACATGTAAAAACCTTTAGTTTCTAAGCCTTTGTAATATTTTCACAATAACAAATCTATGATTTAAAAAATAATTCCACTGTCAGGCAATATGTACTGATTCTTGGTTTGGAAAAAATGATCACTATCATTAAATAATTTATATTGCTTTCTAAATAAAATAGCAAGCAACCTTGAGGCACTATCACAGGGCTCCTAGCAGTCTTTAAATACATACCAGACTTCAACAACAGATTTGGTAGTATTTAAGAAATAAAGCAATGACAATAGAAGTTTTAGAATGACTAAAACTATCATTTTTAACTTTGCAATTGTAAAAATAAGGCATGGCTATATGTTTTCAGTATGCACTTAAACAATACAAAAATATATACAATAAAAAGTGAAGTCTTCTGGATTTTGTTTATTTTTACTAGTATGAATATGATTTTGGAATAATGCCAAACATTGTCAGAGGATGATAAATTAAGGATACCATATCAGCATTAATCCTTCTTCAAATGACTGAATTTCAAATTGAGAAAATAAAATTTGATTAGAACCTGAATCACATCATTATGTCCTTATGTCCACAGTTATATTGGAACATAATTTTAGGAAATTTATTGAGGTAGAAACTTAAGCAAGAGGCAAATGTAAAGAGACCTAAGACTGCTCTTTCCCTCTCTGCCTCCTAGAGAACAAAGGAGATAATGACGGGGAAAAGCTATGGAATCTTTGCTTCTGTCACTTCTGAGATCTGATCTTGAATTTAGTATCTGCTCCAAATATTGTTTTTAACTTTAAAATACTCAAGACAAAAGTGATAGCTTGGTCAGAATTCAGATAAGTAAGCACAAAGCCTTGAAAGAGAAATACCCATCACATATTAGTTGAAAGATAATTAATGCTACAATTCAGACACTTATATGATTAAATGGACACATGGTAACTAAATAAATTACTTTATTTACCAATTACTTTAGAAACTAAAGGTATTAAAATTCAGAATTCAGAGTCCCTGTAATATTATAAAATAAATATTTGGACTATTTCCATTTATCAATAATGCCATCTGTCCTATCCAATACAAATGGACTACAACCCATGAGGCTCCTTTCCTATTTGATTACTCTGATGAATGAGGTATAACAACTCATAAAACCATCATATCATATGACACTGCCATTAAAAAGATATGGAAAAAGGAGAAACACAAGATAATACTTAATCTGAAAATGTTAAGTCAATTTAGTAAAGTTTTTTTTTTTAAATAGGATCTCTCCATTGCCTAGGCTGGAGTGCAGAGGTGTAATCATAGCTCATTGCAGCTGTGACCTCCTAGGCTCACATGATCCTCCCACCTCAGCCTCCCAAGTAGCAGGGACTACAGGTGTATGCCACCATGCCCAGCTAATTTTTTAATCTTTTTATAGAGACAGGGTCTTGCTATGTTGCTAGGGCTGGTCTCAAGTTCCTGGGCTCAAGGGATCCTCCCACCTGGCCTCCCAAAGTGCTGGAATTAAAGGCGTGAGCCATCATGCCCAGCCTCAATTAGTAAAGTTATAACAGCCAACAATATGGTCCTAAAAAGTATATTAATGTTGAATAATATTGTGTCAGTCCTGTATTCCCTTAGCACCTTCAAAGAAAACCAAAGAACCAAAAGATCCCTTGGAAGAGTATAATGGCTTATTATGATATGTTTAGGTTGCTATAATAATCATATCAATAAGAATATACTCAAATATCCTTTTAGGTGGGGGTAATTATATTAAAAACACTTCTATCCCACTTCACAGAAAATTATAAAATGATAATTTAACATCTAATGGCAAGTTGTTTTTAAAGCAAAATTAGATACATTCTTTATACCTTGTAATACAGTCTATAGATTTCAACTGAGCAAAATGATGCTTCCCAAACTAATTTTCTTCTTAGCTATAAATGCATTTTCTTAAAATAACGACAGATGATGATTCTGTAGAAAATTACTATAAGTAGTGTCTAAATTGACATTAACTAAGCTGGAAATTAAATACCACTAACTGGAATTCTCAAATTTTCTTTTTGATGTGCTAATTTGCAATACACTTAGTTATAAGGTGAGTACAGTTGGCATGCCTCGAAATTATCTTTATTTTTCAAGCTCTATTACAATGACCAGAATTTGTTTTGCCTACTAGCCTCACTGAAAATATTCTACAAACTGTTTAGTTGGTGAAACTCATATTAAATTGGGATCCACATCTGTAGATAAGTGAGAAGAAATACATTATGAATAAATATGTTTACTCTATAGTAAAACTTAAGTTTGGCTTAAATAATTTGAAATTTTATATCATTTCATTTTTAGCTTACATTGAATACCAAACAAAGTCCCTGGAGGTGGTGAGGGGAGATTCTGTGAAATAACTCAATTTCAAATGTGTCAGCCACAGCAAACATAAATTAAAATAAAGCACAAATCTAGAAAATATTTTCCCTACCAACTGAAGAAAGCAGCATTTACAACAATTCCACAGACCCCAGGAGTCATGGGAAAATACTCTCAGATGTGCAAGCAAGCCTTAGACACAATCAGATTCATTAAAACCACAAGTGTCATAACCAAAGTAAGAGGCAGCTAGGGCTGACTGCTTGTGAACTCTACCTTGTTAGCAGGGGCAGCATCTAGAAGGCTCATTCAGGAAAACCAGGGTACTAACTCCAAATAAGGTTTGCCAAATCTGCAAGAGGCAGCATGACCTCATCTTCCCTTCTGATCAAAAGAAACACTAGCACTTCTACAAATGTGAAAGCACATAATTTAGAGAAATGTGTTTGTGACACTGATTCTTATCTGTTACTATGACACTGCTACATGATTTTAATTGTATCTTTACAATATATTTCAATATCTGGCAGTGTAAGACTTTCTTATTCTTCCTCCTCTTCCCCCATGCCCCTCTTATTTCTTCTTCTTTTGACAAAAACTTTTAGGCTATTTTTGCCAGCTTTATTCTTTTTATATGCACTTCAGGATAATTTTGTTAAGTGTATTCCATGGGAGACTTGATTCTAATAAAGGTAAATTTATTTTAAAAACAAAATTGTAGAAAATAGGTATCTTCACATTATTTTAAATCAGAAACAAGGTATATCTTTTCACTTTTTAAAAGTTTCATCCGTCCAGAAAGATTTCTGGTTTTCTTTATAGCAATCTCAAAATTTCATATAGTTTTCATGCTACTATGCACATAGTTTTTTCTCCACTAGATTTTTTAAGTTTGTTACTGCCGATAAGAGGTAAAAGGTTTTCATTATATTTCTGTTTTACCTAGCAATCTTATTTAACTCATATTACATTTGCTCATAGTTCATGTCTCATGGGTTTACTAGGTAGATAATATTATCTGCAAATAATGATTGTATTGCCAATGTAGTTTTTAACCTCAGCAAAGAACAGATTTTTGTTCCTTCTAGAGTATATTCTAATCATCAACTTACTTGGTTATTTAATTTAAAAGTTTTACTTTCTGATGATGCAGCAGTATAAATTATGGTATAATCTAAAGTCAATGTATTTCAGAAACCACTTTTGATATGTATGGGATAACTAAAAGTTTCAACCCCAAACCAGGTTACAGATATTGTATTAAAACAACAAAAACTCAGTTAATACTTTAGAAGAACGGAAAGATGTGATCCTTTTTAATTGTTCTTGGAGAAATAAGGTGAATCTTAGCCCAAGTGAATAAAATATCAGAAAAATTACCTCCTGCACCAGAAAGTAGAATGTGATGCTTGGCCAGAGATATTTTTACACAGTATATTTCAACAGTTTCTAAAAAATTTAAGCTGCTTTTAAAGAACTCTTAACTTATTGCATTAGGGAATTAAGATAAAGTTAGTGATAACTATGACTTTCTATTTAGCAATTTTCTTTCTCAACTGTGCACAGCCAATTATGAGGTAGAACATAACAGCTCAATCAAATCTTATTATTCCAGATTCAGTTTAAACCCTTATAAAGTGCACTGAGACTTGATATTGTCTGAATAAAACTTTTTCACAAATTACTCTTTGGTAGGCTAGAAATAAAATAGATACTGTTGGTACCTTTTAATGGGTCTTTAAGTTCTGCCAGTTACCCCAGGCAGTGGCAATGAGCTGGCTGTTCATTACATAACAGTGGGCTGTAATCCTGGGCTGAAGTCTGGTGCCTCCATGTGTAGCTTCCAGGATTTTCAGGGTATGGCTTAAGGACACAGTAGCTTTTCTTTGTATTCCACCACCAGCAAATTTCATTGTGCAAGGTACCAGGGCAATTTGCTCAGTAAGATACAGGACTTCTCCAACCTAAAACGGCAAAGGGAAATTAAGGGCTGAAATAAGAAAACACTACTCTCTTTATTCAAGCTATTTCCCAAGTTCTTAATTAACTGGACAAATGGTGATAATACCTACTTTGGCAGGTTATTCTGGGGATAAGATGTATATAAAATATCTATTACATAGAGTTCAGAGTCAGAGCAGGAAATAAAAATGTAGCAATTTATTATTATATTATTAGCCATCATTATCATTTCTGAATTAAGACTTTCCCCCAGTGCAACAAAGTTGACTGAGTTTACTCATGGACCAGTAATTAACCACTGTATTTGTTTTAGAGGGTAAAATTAATACAAGGATGAATAGTCATACACTACTTTAAGGATGTATGTCATACACTATTTTAAATAGTGTACAACAGCCATGCACTATTTTAAGACCCAGTCATATGCTGGGCCTTAAAGGAGTTAGTTCTGAGTACATGTAATTAACACTTTTATAATGTCATAATTAATGCCCCAATTAATGGACAAAGATATCACTATGATATTATTTATTCTTGAGGAATGTTTAAAATAGGACTAGGAGAAAGATGTTGTTTCAAGTCTGTGTGTTTCTCAAGGGTGGCACTGTATTTATGGGATGAGGGCTGTGGGTTTCAGGTCACAAAAGCAAGATTTCAAATATGTGTCTTTAAAGTTGAAAATGAATTTGCATCTTATCATTTCACAGACTAATGCCATGGAAATTTTGGCTCCTAAGGACATAGAGAGATCAATTTTTTTTTTTTTTTTTTGCAAATCAGCCTCTATAATTGGACATAAGTGATACGAGACCTTTTTACAAAGCATCTGCTACTTTTTCTGTTGAGATGTTTACTAGATCTTGCTCCAAAAGAGCAAGGAAATAATAAAGGCTCTACTCTTTTCTGATTTTCATAAAAATTCTGTGATAAATCCCTAAGTTTTTTTTTCACTATTAGAAAGAGTAAACACATGAACTATTTAGTATATATAGATCCCAAATACAGAGTGGTGGTGAATAAAAACTTTTTTCCTTCCCTATTCCCAGAATGTGTAAATTATTTAATAGAGACTTTGCTAAACTTTTACCACAACTAAAAATTCCTCAGTATTAAAGCTCAGTGAAAAGAATCTCAGTGCCTGAAGACAAGGAAATCAAACCATGTGACAGTCCCATATGCAACTCCAAATCTGTCCTCATAACTGTCTGTAGAGCTCACAAAGGAGTCACACATGTAGCTATTGGAAGAATATCTTACACAATTTGGCACACAAGTTCTAAGATTAGCAGCTGAAGAGGGGGAGGAGGAAGAGAGGAACATAATACATTAACTGACACCCATCCACTATCTTTCTAAATTGTTTGGAATGTTAAAAATATTGTTTTGATCAATCTATATATACATCCTCAAATTTGAAAGAGAAATTCAAAGCATGTTGTGGTTGAAAGAACAAATGGTTTTTAAAAAAACACTATGAAATATATGTCACTGAACAAGGGAGTCCAGCCAGCTCCCAAGTGGCATGTTAACATGATGAAAAGCAAATCCAGGGTGCTGTGAATCAAAGAGGCATGGGTTTATTTTTAAAAAGGACTGTGTCTCCCCACCCTGTTTGCCAAGTACAATTTTCTTTGGAGTAACCCAGCATCCAAAATAGGTAAGCATTTAAATGTTCCAGTGATTACCTGCCCAACACTTGACCACCTCCTCCCCTTATAAGGCCTTCGGCTCTACATACATCATCCATGTTAATTACCAGACAAACAGAAGAGCTGTTCAACTAGTTCACTTCCCCTATTCTTGAACAGATTGTTTGAGACATAATATGAATACTAATTAATGATAAAATATCTGTGAGTGTTTTGAAATATGGACGAAGATAGCACTTTTAGAAAGGCGCCCAGATAGATCTTGTGCAACAAGCCCCACTGGTCATACGAAGGGTCAGGCTACAGCTCGGAGATAGGAGAGCAAAACTGGCAGAGTTTTTGGCTCCAATTCAGTGGGAACTGTGGACCACTTTTTTTTTTTTTTTTTGGAAGGGGGATTTACTGTCTTGTTAACCTTATCCCTCTGTTAAACTGGAAGAGTTTAGAATGAAAACTCTTTTCACAGACAAACGGAGAGAAAAACAGAATTTTGTTAGAGGTCGACTTGAGTAGATGAAGGAGTGAGACTTCAACATGTTTGATCCAGGATTATGGGTCTATGCTCTGCAGCAAAAGAAATACAAGCAGGTTAGGGCTGATCCAATGCTAACAATGCTGAGTGCACGGGATCAATTCAGGCTCTGTGATGCAAGGGGCAGGGGAAAGGTCACTTAAAAGAAAATGGTCCCTCTTCCATTCAACCACCCTTTTACAAATAGTTTGCTTAGTCTCAGAGAAATGTACCCACAGTGATATAAAAAATAACACTTTTTGTTAAAGAGCAAAGCATATTGTTAGGTTGAATTATAAAGACAAATGAAATAGTATTTTTTATAATAAGAATCTAAGCCATTGCCAAATTGTGTTGTCTCCTTTCCTTCTAAAACTGAATATTGTATTTTCTTCTTGAAACCTAAAACTGGCTCCATCTTACCTCAGAAACTTTACTCCATTAATAAACTAGGCTTTGTATTCTCCTTCAATTTTGATATCTAATGTAAATTCTTAAATAGTGCTTTTTAATTCTTCTGACTTCAGTAATTACAATTTGTTCTAATGCCAAAAAAGAGAAGATTATTCAAAATTAAAAACAAAAAACAAAATAATTTATATTTGACACTAGAGTTGTTTTTGCATTGAATTTTACAATGGATGTGTAAAATATTAAAGAAATTCATTTGTCTCACTCAAAGAACTGAAAATGTCTCATGAAAATCTGATTTGGGAAAGAAAGTTAGCCAAAGTCTGCATTTCATGTATAGCTAGTCCTTATCTGTCTGAGGTAAGGCCTAAAACTCTTACACCTCCCTGTAATTAGATGACTCTTTCCAAGACTGATTCAAGGTTTGCCATGTTCCAGCCTTTCTTGAGGGCAGGAGAAATGATCACTTATTTGCATTTCAAAGCTTTTCTTTGCATTCAACTAAATTTAGAAAAAAGAGAGATATCAACATCAAATTGTCAAATGAGATACTGTTAAAAGTAGTTGCCTAAGGTGACAGCAAATTAAGTCCATAAATAAAGTAGGAAAAAGCGTAATAAAGATAATTCATTGTGGATATGACCTTTTGTTATAATACACATTTTTATGCTTATTTACACTTATTTGTATTTCTTTTCATATGTATTAATCTTTCCCCTACTTGCCCACTAGACCTGGTGTTAGTATTTTAAGGCAAGGCTTTTCTTAAATATTTGGAAAAAAGAGGTAGAAAAATGCCTTCTAAGTTAACTGGAAAAATATACATAATGATGTCCTGGACAGGTCTTTTCCTCCTGACTGGTGAACCCTTAACTTGAGACTTAATATTTCTGGGTCTTGCTTCCCCAAAGCCATCTTACCTGGACCCCCATTTACATCACACAATGATCCAAAGTCAACCGGAAAGCACCCACTGCCACCCCCAGGCCCTGTGCCTAAGGTCCAAACCCAGGCAGGGCTTACCTATCCTACATGGTGAAATAGACAGTAAAGCTTAAGGAAGAGAGAGGCTATGTCTTCTAATTCTTCTGGGTGTCCCAAATATCCTCATGTTGATGTTACATTGTTCAGTCAGTACTACAGGTGATAGTGTCCTCAGAAGTGACAGCCAGTAAAGTAATTTTCATAGGTCTACACTGAATTTACTAAGAGCATTCACAATGCCACTAGAACTGGTTTTCACCAGTTTGGAGAGTAGAATGAAAGCTGAAACAGAGATGACACACAGAATCATTAGAAGCACAAAGTATACAAGGAAGGATTTTCCTCCTTCTCATGTTTTTATGTTGCTCAGGCCCAAAACCTTGGAATCTTCCTCAAATCCTTTCTTTTGATTACTCCCCACTTTCTATCTGCCAGAAATGTTCTACTTTCAACATATATCCAGAATCCAACCCCTTCTTTCTCATCATGTTCAGTGATCCAAGTCACTATCACTTTTCATCTGGATTACAGATACAACTTCTTTTTTTTTTGAGATGGAGCTTCGCTCTTGTTGCCCAGGCTGGAGTGCAGTGGCACAATCTAGGCTCACTGCAACCTCTGCCTCCCGGGTTCAAGTGCTTCTCCTGCTTCAGCCTCCCGAGAAACTGGGATTACAGGTGTGACCACCACGCCCGGCTAATTTTTTGTATTTTTAGTAGAGATGGGGTTTAACCATGTTGGCCAGGCTGTTCTTGAACTCCTGACCTCAGCTGATCCACCCTCCTTGGCCTCACAAAGTGTTATTACAGTTGTGAGCCACCACACCCAGCCCTGGATACAACTTCTTAATCGGTCCATTTGCTTCTACTCTTGCAAGAGCCTGCTCAACCGAGCACCTGAGTGACCCTTGTAACAATGAAAGTCAGATCAGGCCAGCCCTCTGCCCCACCTGTGAATTGAGTTTGTGAATTATCATAACACCATCTTATACAATAATTCACCAAAGAGATTACCATTAACGCCTTTTTATGGAATGTTTGAGAAGCATCATGAAAGAGGAACAGCTCACTTACCTACCAAGTGGGAAAGTGCACAAGATACTTTCCGTACTACTTGCCCACTTGGTAGAGATTGTCAAAGTCAAGAGTCCCTAACAAATATTTCCATATCTTATCATTAATTCGAATGTATGAACAGATGATTGTCTAGATTTCAGAGTAATACATGACTCATAAAAGTATGCAATACCAGAACACACAGATTTAACACAGAATAAGGAAGTACCTATAACCTAAACTATTTATTTTGGTGGAAAATATTTTTTTTAGAGACAGGGTGTCACTCAGTTGCACAGGCTGGGGTACAGTGGTGTGATCACAGCTCACTGCAGCATCGATCTCCTGGGCTCTTACTCTTGTCTCAGCCTCCCACGTAGCTGGGATCACAGATGCGCACCACGACACCCAGCTAATTTTTAAAAACATTTTTTGTAGAGATGGAGTCTCACTTTGTTGACCAGGCCGGTCTTAAACTCCTGGCTTCAAGTAATCCTCCTGACTTGGATTACAGGTGCTAGCCACCGTACCCAGCTGAAGATCCTTAACAAAAACAGCTAATGTTTACTGAGCCATTATGATATGCCATTTAATGTGCTAGGCATTTTACCTGCATAATTTCATTTGATTCTCACAAATCCACTGGTAGGCACTATTATTATATCCATTTTAATGATAAGTGCACTGGAACTTGAATCACTCAAGGTTACACAGCTGGAACATGGCAAATCTGAGACACACGTATAGGAATGTATGATGTCAATGCCCATGCAGTCTTAACTGCTAAGTCATATTACCTTTAATTTCCCAAAGATCATTTTTCTTATCTTTGGCTCTAGTGCTTCATCCAATACTGGATATGAAACTTTCTGTACATTTAGTACAGTTTCAGTATGTTAAATAGCCTTTCCAAAATTCTAAAAATAATGCAAAGTTAGAGTCAGATTAGTGTGGTAGATAGAGCTTGATCTTTAGAGCCAGCAAGACTTGGGTTGTGGGCCTTTGGGCAGGTTACCCCGTGAAACCAGTTTTCTTATCTGTGAAATGACAATTATGGTATGTATCTGTATATAGAATACTCAGTGTTTTGTAGACAATATATCAATAGTGACTATTAATCTCTAATGCTGAATCATTTGAAAACTGTACAATCTCAAAAATAACGCAAATGTTTTGATAGTATATAGATTTGTTTTCTTTATATACTTGGTAGCCTAATTATTCATTCATTAAAATAGTAATTTTTTCTTCAACTCTGATTCTCACTTTATTTTCATATTCAATGCTATTGGTTTAGTCATATGACTAAATTAAAACATTGCTTCTTACAATAGTCTAATACATTACTAATGAATAATTTAATACTAGTAAAGAGATTAATGAGTTCTTAAATTATAACAAATTACTATTATATCACAGGTTACACTTATATGTAGCATAAAGCTAATTATGGTCATTTACTTACTTAATCAGTAAATTTTTACCAAGTGCCTATATGTGCCCGACACTGAACTATTTGCTAGATATTTAATATGAAAATACACCATCCCTACTCTGAAGAAATTATAGCCTAGCAGGAAGACATTCATGCCAAGAGGACCATTGAATCATTTGGAAAGCCAGTAAAAAGATACTACAATTGATATCAAAAACAAGTTGCTGAACTGGGGCAATGGCAGTGGGTTGAAATAGAGGGGGCATTGAATCTACCGACAATATTCAGTTAAGTAGAACTGATGGAATGTGATTTGAGATGAGATGCATATTTGGGGAGGGCAGAATATAAAGAAAAGGATCTAAGCTGACTCGTGTTTGTATTTGATCTAGAGATACAAGTTGTAAAAATGATGTGCTATACAAAAGTATTTTTTCCTTAAAATCTAACTCATGAAATCATCAGTGATATTTAAATCAATAATAGCAAATGTAAGTGATAATGATTTTAAGTAGAGGACAAAAAAAAATTAAAAAAAAATAAAATGCTAACAAATGTAACGAGTTACATCACTGCTATATAAATTATCATCATCATGCTTTATGATGATAAAAATCACTGGAACTATATGCAAAAAATTTAGATTACTGCTTTATGAATAACCTTGCATTTTCAATTCTCTTTTGATTGATAGCAAATATCCAATCTCCCATGTCAGCAGTGGGTATTTAGAAGACATACCAATGTCCTTATTAACGTGAGACTCAAATATGCTTCTAAAAATTAACTTTGAGACTGGTGTCCCAGAGCCATTTCAGCAACTGTGTGTCCAGCTTGCTACAATTACAGCAAAGCCACATAGCAGGAGAAAAGTTTATATTGCAAAGGGATATACCATTCTTTCTTGGTATTCATGGGGGATTCAGGATCTCCTTCAAATACCAGAATCTGAGAATGCTCATGTTCCTGATATAAAATGGCATACAACATTTTTTTTCAAATATTTCCAGTCCTTGGTTGGTTGAATCCACAGATGCGGAACCCACAGTTACAGAGGGCCAACTCTAGTCATTGGATCGATCTGCTCTTTAAAAAGCTATTTAGAGCTTCAAGTGCAATCTGCTTGCTGAACAAAAATCCTCAGACACAATCAACCACAGGATTTCAACCAAACTTCAAGTATTTTACAAAGAAATAATATAGTATTTGTTCAAAGAGAATGAAACACCAGTTTCTAAGGGTGATTTAAGTCAATAAGTAATAAGCTAAATCTTTGTTAGGAATGCATTCTGGTGTGTGAATGACTATTGCCCTTTCAGAGGGCAAAGTGCACAAAAGATTCAGTGACCTTCTGACTTGACAGTCAAATAACTACCATTACAGTCAATGTAAGTAAGCATGGCTGACAATTTGCTAATTGGCCGCCTGTGGTCAGTCAAGGGTACTTCTGACCTTAATGAGAACCTAATCAATTAATACTTAGGGCAATAAAGACTTCTTACTGATTAAGTAAGACAGAAATCATCTTTTTCTAACAGGATTAATGCTACAAAGTGGCCATCTTTTTATTTAATATATGGTAATCCTCTCTTTTTTGGACTCTCTTATTTAGCTAACATGGTAAAATTGAATTATGGAGGGTGAAATCTTTTGTTCAACTATGCTTAAAGCTTCTTCTTCTTTTTTTTTTTTTTTTTAAACAAGCAGTGTAATTCAGATACTAAAATGAGAACATCTGGTGTTTATTTGAATTATATGATAATCAACTGAACCTGATATGATCATGGAATCGAAAAACATGTATGTTTTCTTAAACCAAGAGAGTCCATATTGAAATTCTTAAAAAATAATGAAAATCACTAGAATTGTTTTTATATCAGGGTCTCTCTTCTGGCAACTACTAAGATGATAGTAGCTAGGATTCCAGAGGCATACAGTTTTCTTTTTAACTGAAAAGAAAGATGATACTATTGTCTTCCATGAAGATATTTTTTAAATGCTCTTAAAATAAAAATTTCTTTACGTTACAAGAGCAACTGTCATTTTAAGTCACAAAGTATAGTCTTCTCTTCTGTAGTGTGGTTGATATAAAGCAGCATCCTTTTAAGTGTTCTATAGAGTAGGTAAGCAGCCTCTATGCTGAAATGCAGCCATAATTTGTAGGAACTTCCAGAATTACTTTCTGTTTGCAATGCACACTATCTGACTTGGCAAAGGAACAAATTTATGATTTTAGGTTAAAAATTTATCATTTAGACACAGTGACTAAAAATTTATAATTCTCTGAGATAAGTTTTCCTTTTTAAGGCTTTGCAATTCATTTGGCTCAGATGATACTTTTGAAAATGCATGTATTTTATATAGGAGAGCAGATATGATTCCTTTAAAAAATAGTTGAAAAGCAACAGCTGTGTATCTACAATAACTGTTTCATGACGCTTTTAATACAGATAAATATGCAAATATGTCATACTATTTTTAATACACCATTTTCACACAGCGTAGTGACTGAAAACAGAGCAAACATTCTGTGTATTTAGATTCATAATGAGAAATACACACCACTCAAAACCGGAATTATTGTCATGTTGTACCAAGTAATAAAAAATATGGTTTTGGATGGTAAATAAAACACTGCTAAGTCATAACAAGAACACTGACAAAGTCCAGGGAGTAGCTGTTCAGATTCTACTACTATGTCATCAGTATTGTTTAAAAAACTACAAAGCACTGCTCAGATTCTCTGCTGATGGGATAATACATGTTAATATCACAAACAATAGGTAATTTTATGTAGATTCTAGTTTCTGAAGACAGGGCCAATTGGGTTTCATAATTTAGATAAGTAATTCAAGTAGTTAAATCAACTTACATTTCTTAGTAGAATCATATGAGATATCCACAATGGAGTTAGAATTAAGTCCCATGGGTTCAACCGAATCTCACTATGCTAAGGTTTCTTTTAATATTGCCCACAACGACTTTTTTCCATATTTATTATGAAAAATGTCAAATACAAAGCAGAGTATAATAGGGGACATCCACATACACCACCACCATTAACATTTTACTATACTT